AGAGGAGGAGCACTGATGCACCGGTGAGGAGGTGTGAGCGACTGGCTGTAGTGGGCACACGGAAAGGTAGAGGGCGGCCTAAGAAGTATTGGGGAGAGGTGATCAGACAAGACATGGCGCGACTTAGGATTACTGAGGACATGGCCCTTGACAGAGAATTATGGAGGTCGAGCATTAAGGTTGTAGGTTAGGGGAAAGTGTGAATATTTCTACAGTACAATAGAGTGAGACTAGCCAGTTACGAGTTAGACTAAGAATGTCATTGGTCGTCTATTGATGCAGGGCTTTACCTGCTAGGTTTACCTGACCATCTATTTCGTATTTCCTATTCTGTATTTCATATCTCTTATATTGCAGTTATTTTATGTTATGTTATTTTATTATGCATTTCTTATGGTACTAATATATCGGCTCCTGTTGCTTTTTTTGAGTCGAGGGTCTCCTGGAAACAGCCTCTCTACCCTTCAGGGTAGGGGTAAGGTCTGCGTACATATTACCCTCCCCAGACCCCACTTGTGGGATTATACTGGGTCGTTGTTGTTGTTGTTGTTGTTGTTGTTGTTTAATATGATTGGATGTTTGTTGAATCACTCAAGTTGTAATGCTATCATTTATAGGGGCAAATGATCCTTCATATCTGCTTGAGAAACTCGAGGTCCTGATTTCCAAGGTTAAAGAGGAAGCTTTTAGTAGGAGAGATATTCTTGAAAAGGTTGAGAAGTGGTTGGCTGCATGCGACGAGGAGTGCTGGCTGGAGGAATATAACAGGGTTGGATGTTATGCTGTGTTTTTTTTTTACCTCTTTCGTGTATATTCTGCACCATACTTCTTTTTCTAATAAGTTTTATTTTAGGATGAAAATCGTTACCATGGCGGAAGAGGCACACATCGTAATCTGAAGCGAGCTGAGAAAGCTCGAGTTCTTGTCAACAAAATCCCTGGTATGGAACCTATTTTCTCTTCCCATATCTCCCATCATTAAAAAATGATTTTATTCTAATAGAATAATCTTTCTTGCTTTTGATACTCTTCTTTGAGTTAGCGTACTGCATTACATGTGTGCTCTGCTGAGAATACAGATACCAGAAAATAAGAGTTTACTCATCTGTGTGGTGTCTGAAAATTTGTTATGCAAATCAATAATTGGTTATCATAAACAAATCACCGACATTGTTAAATGTCTTCTTAGTGTTCCAATAAAACTTGATCTGTTTGATAAGAAATCTTAACATTGACTTTGTGGCAGCTATGGTAGAGACATTGAGATCGAGAGCTAGTGCTTGGCAGAAAGAAAGGGGACATGAGTTCTTGTATGATGGTGTAAGCACCTAACTGGAATTTGTTAAAGCTTTATTAAGCATGACTCCCTGCATCCACATTCTGTAGCTGCCTTAACTCTTGGAAGAAGGTGATTGCACTCTTTTTTTGTTACTTAATCCTTCACTTTCTCTTTCCAGGTAGCGCTTCTTTCTATGGTTGAGCAGTATTGTGCTCTACAGCGGGAGAAGGAGCTTGAGCGTCAGAGGCAGAGGGTATGAATTTTCCATTTGATTACACATGAAACAACTGCTCTAAGTATTGGTTGTTTATAAGGTTCTTTTTCTTATTCAAGGACCAGAAGAAGCTTCAGGGACAGTTGATGGTGGAGCAAGAAGCACTTTTTGGATCAATACCTAGTCCTTTAAAGAGTGCAAAGAAGAATTTTAGACCATCAATGGGAGGTTTGACCAATAAAAGGCTTTCGCTCGGAGGAGCAATGCTTCAAACCCCATATGCTGGTAAAGCTGCACCATCCTCTTATTCCGGAAGACTGTCTAGCTCGTTGAAACAGCAAACTCCCCAAAATTCTCACCAAACTGGTAGGCTTGTGATCTTATTCTCTAGTATATCTAAATTTACTTTTCCACCAATAATTGTAGTATACTAGTAGTAGTTTCTATAATTACATGTTTATTGACCTTTTGCGGCTTCTAGGTTAGGCTGCATTATTGATATCTAAACTGTCTAGTTTTAATTTTGTTGTTGCAGGAAGGAGAGATAGTTTCATGGCACCAAAAAAGCAGCAATCATGCAAGGTATTAAATTCACTTGGAACTGAATCAAAACAGACGATGAAGCCCCTACCGGATCCACGTAGAACTGAATCAACACAGACAAGGAAGCCTCTATCTCCCTTATCGTCTATGTTATCGTCAAATGCAAGCACCATTAATATTCAGAATCAGACCCTAAAGAGTGGGGGAGATAAGGAAACACTGTCTTTGAACAAAACTCCGCTTATGACTCCAACCAAGATTGCCTCTGCTGTTGAAGATAGACTCAACGAAACAATGTCATTGAACAGAACTCCAGTTATGGCTCCAACCAAGATTGCCTCAGCTGTTGAAGGATGTATTACCCCAAAAACAATGACTATTCCAATGCCAGCAACTCCTTCCACAGTTTCCATTGCAATGCAGACTGCGATGACACCTGCTGCCCTCCATGTTTCTGGTTGTACTGATGATATTGAGTACTCATTTGAGGAGAGAAGAGCCGGTTACAATCCATTATCACATACCAAGGTCATTAACAAATGCTTGATTTAGCAGTACTAGTAACAGTATATTTTCTTGGGATGAATTCTTTTCTTTGCATTGTTGCCCGCCATAAATGCATTCTACTCATCTGGTTTCAGGCAATGATTTTTCCACTTTTTTTTTTTTTTTTTTNTAGTGTTTGGATCCGGCTCCCCTCCTGTATAGGTTCTCTCCAATTTCAGCAGTGGAGGTCTAATTTTTAAACTATGGTTAAAACAAAATATTCCTATAATTTAGCCTTTCTTTAAATGTAGAATCCTTTACTTACAGGGATAGTGGGATACGGTACCAGCAAATCAAATCCTTTCATGGATTTTTTTATCTTTTTTCCCCCAAATTCTAAATTCTTTCAAACCAGATTTTATTTTCATAGGCATCATATTTTTTTCTATTTTCGCAGGGACAATTTCATTTGTGTTCTTCCACCTTTTTTGTTTCTTGAAACCAAATAAATATAATTTTTTGTTTGTAGTAGGAAATTGGTTGCATTAATAAAAAAAATTGATTGAACTTAATGTGAAGAAGAAATAAAAAAAACTAACGAAAAGGCAAATTGTTGTTTGAGAAAAGGAAACTTGAATACAAAAATGCTTCGATGAGGTTAAACATTGAATCATATTACATATCTAGATGAAAAAGATAGTTTCTCTATGATTACTTAAAGGAACTAACAACATCATATCAATTAAAAATGGTCAACATAATAACTTATAATAATCGTTGATTTTTTTAGTGAAAATATTTTCATTAAAGAATCGCTTCCATTGATAAGAAAATATTTTCCCAATTAAAATGAAATTCCCAGCAAGATTTTCGTATAGTTGATTTCTCTTTCCAATTTTGATACTAACCTAATAAGAGAATGTAGTTTAATCATGGGTTAGTCTAAATAAATTTTGGCCCTTAGATATGAAAGATGACAGATGTCATTAAATTAGACATGCACTTATGAAAACGGAGAGATATTGTACACGAGTTGAGCCAAATCCCTAGTGTTTGGACATAAATTTGATTGAAATTTTAAAAAAGTAACGGTCCTCGTGGTCCAAGATAATCAAACCATCAATAACAGTAACGTAAGCATGAGACTTTTTGGTAGTACTGGTGAACCAGATGACCGCGACGTTTCAACTCATTTTTTTTTTCCAAAACGGGAGCTGAGAACATTCATCTCGGAAAAATCTAATTTGAATTTTTAATTCCCCTAAAATATTTTGGTTTATATTTCGGAAAAAATATGATTATCTTTACAATACAACGATTCTTTTAAACAATTAGAAATTTGTCAAAATCTTTTACCGTCTAAAGTTGGCCTATTTTTTTCATGCAACGGAGGGAGTTGGTTAAGGCCGATTTAATAGAAGCAGTCTCATGATAGATTACAATTATATGAACTATGCCTTCAAAAATTAATTTAATTTTCTCGCTATCTTTTAAAGTCAACTACCTCAACTAGGGGTGCCAAATGGGCAGGTTGCGCTTAATTTGGGCGAGTCAAGATGGATTAGGTCAATAAATGAGTCAAAATAGGTTAGGTCAATAAATGAGTCAAAATGAGTTAGGTCAATAAATGAGTCTTCACCATTTACAGCCTGGAGATATACGGTGGTGAGAGTGAGATATTGAAGGGCGACAACAATGCAACGATATTCCGTTGCATCAGAGAGAGAGGAACACCCTCGTATGCAGAGAGCTTTAAGCCAGACGCAAGGGGTGTGGGACATGGCTTGGAGTCTT